TCCTGACCCTCCCAGGCCAAATGCGCACCAACCTCAGCTGGGACCGAGGCCACGTTCAGCAGGGGACACAGGATGTGAAGGACTTCCCAGCCTGGGCCTGCACATGAGCAGAAGGCTCTTCCCTCCCTGGCTCCTCCTGTGCCCAGAAGTGACAGTCTCGCCAAGGCCGGGGCTGCTCCTTTCTGTCAACAGTGGCCATGGCCTCTTCTCCCAGAAGGTCTCCCTGGGATGCCTGTGGAGGCGTCAAGGCCGAGCCAATGCCCAGGGAAGGGCGGAGCTCCTGGGCAGAGGAAGCCACTCCAGGCTCTTCCAACAGCCTGGCAGAGCTCCTGGGAGTCGGGAAAGTTTTGATTATTAACACAGCCAAACATCTAATTAAAATAATAAATTAGAGGACAACATTGCAGGGCTGATGGGAGCTGTAGGGAGCCCTGGAGAAAAAGTGGGGAGAAGATACGCACTTCCCAGGCAGCCATACTGGAAACCTGGGCCCATGTGCTTTCTGGGCTCATGAAGGAGGCAGAAAAGCGGTGTCAGGTTTGTCCATGAGCTGAGGGGACAGCGGGTGGGAAGGATGAGACCTCCAGACCTGCGCAGGTTGGGCAGATGTCAGGGCTTCCTGGGGTTCTCAAACTCTAGCATGTGACACTGGGCTTGTGAAATGTTTAGTGAGTTGTAGCCACACTTAATGATAACAATCACAGAGAAAACAGGAGTGTCACATTCGGAAAAGTGGGTTTAGTTTCATGAGTAATGCTTCCTGTTAATATTTCTTACACTTGCATGTGTTTCTTTTGTTCTTAGCTTTCTTTTGGGGGCGGCTAGGGATTGGAGCAGGGCCTTGCAAACACTAGGCTGGTGCTCTACCAAAACCGCATCCTCAGACCCCTGTAAATTTTATTTTGAGACATTGTCTCGCTAAGTTGTCCAAGCTGGTCTAGAATTTCTGATCCTCCTGCCTCAGTCTCAGAGTAGCTGGGATTACAGGCATGCACCACCACACCCCAGCATGTGTCTCCTACAGGGGTGGCACCAGCACCGTGGACGTGGACCGAGAAGGCTGAGGACAGGACAAGGAGCAGTCATTACAATGGTCACACATAACAGCAAATACCAAGTATGCTCCCGAAACTGTGCTGAATGTTTCTCAAAATATCAACCTCTAATTCCACAAGCACAGCACTGGATTCTCATTTACCACGCGAGGGCGGAGTGGCCAGGGGGTTTGTCTAACAGCATCGTCTGCCTGGGCTGTCATCATGACATGTTGCACACTGGGTGGCCTAGGAAGAGAATTTATTTCCACTTTCGGGGTCTGGAAGTACAGGGTCAAGGGCCTGGCTGACTCTGCTCCTGGCCAGCTGCCTGGCAGCCTTCCTGCAGGTCCTCATGTGGCCTGGACATTGCTCGCCTGTGGAGGGCCTCTTGTACTTCCTGCTGGGCCTGGCCCCCACCCTCATGACCGAACTTACCCTCCCTTAAGTGCCTCTCAAAAGCCCTGTCTGCAAATCAGCCCAACTGGGCTCGGGGTTCCACCTGTGAACTTGGCGGGGACACAGTTCAGCCACAGCACTGAACATTCTGTGGCAAATAATCATGGCGCTTGAATGCTGGGGAAACAGCTTCACATTCTGCACAACAGGGTCTCACAGAGCTGCCCACAGCCCTGAGGGGGGCTGGGAGGGTCATCCAGGAAGACACAAGTGGAAGGTCAGGCCAGAGGAGGCCACGGCCTGTCCAGACACCAGGAACTTTTCCACTGCCGTGTTCTGAGCACCCAAAACTATGCCTGACACTTAGTTGGAGCTTAATGAAAACTGGAATGAATTTTTACACAGTCACTACCATTACTGACCCAGTATTAGAGTACCTGGCTACCATGCTAGCTTTGCTTATCACAGGATAAGACTTGGGAGCATCTGAAGTTGGTGAGCCTGTCCCACATTTGGGAAAGGATATGATGGTAAGGGCCAGTGGGGCTGAGTGGAGGGTGGCAGGAGATAATTTGTGGGAGGCTCTAACCCAGCAGCATCTGGCAAATGCAGGGCAGCACGGCTGCAGGGAGCCCTGGCGCCCCCATCCTGCTCTGGGCTTTGATGGAGCACAGCAAAGAGACACACTGGGAAGACGAGCTTTGCTCTCACCGTGCTCCTCCCAGCTCGGCCTGGCCTCTGGTCCTGGCTCCCTTTCGGCATTTGGGGGCAGGGCAGTGACCATGAGCAGCAGCCTGACGGATGTCCGAGGGTCCCTCACTGCTCTGCCTTGAGACTCTCCCTTGGGGTGGTTGTGCGGCACCCCAGTGTAGACACAGGCAACACTGTGTTTATAACCGGCCTCAGTGGAGGGGACAGCAATGGGACTTCAGGGTGTGTCTGTGGGGGAGGGGATCTCTTGGGACAGTGCCCTCCCTGGGGAATTTGGTCAACCCCAGGGACTTGGATGCTGCTAGGTGTAAACTTGGGCTGTTTGGGGAAGAGACAGGTCAGCAGAGTGCTCCCCGTCACCTGAAGGTGGGGAGGCAGGTTGAGGGGACTGAGCACCGTGACCCCCTGCCCACAGACAGAGGCTGGAACCTTCCGAGCCCACCACTGTCACAAGAAGGAGGCTGAGCTGACCAGGTCCTGGGAGGCTGGTCTTGGCAGGCAGGCAGGCAGGTGCCAGCCAGATGTTTCTAACAGGAAGCTGGAGATGGCTAAGGTAGGCTCTGCCTAGCGGCTGCCCTGGGAACACACTTGCTGCCCACCTGCCCGCAGCCACACCCTCTCCTTACTGCTCTAAAGGATGTCGACTTGGTCCACTCTGGCTGGAAGCAGCCCCAAGGACAGCCCCTGGATCGCAGTGGGGTCACCCACACCGGCCTCAGTGCTGCGCAGCCCATGGACACAGGTCCTCCTCCCCCACCTGGGCCCAGAGGCAGGGTCTACAGTGAGCTCTGCCTCCCGACCCTCGCCTCTGCAGCTCTCCACGCACCGCTGCTCCTGCGTTCAGCCCAGGGACCGCTCCAGTCCTTGGGGTCTCAGTATGTCCCCTGTGTTTACCCTGGTGGCCGCTAGGCTCCAGCTTCACTGAGCCACGTCTCTCTTGGTCCCTGCCCCAGCTGCCCTCTCCCTGATTCCCCAGCAGTCTCCACCCCCTTTGCTGGGGCTCTCCTGGTGTCAGCACCCCCCACTCTATCCCAGAACTCCCTATGCTCGGGCCACTGGGAACTGCTGACCCCCTAGACTCAGCCCCGGTCCTGGAGACGGCAGTCCATTCTGGGGCACTGGCCTGGCTGGCTCCAGAGACCTGGAGAGGGGAACTGACTGCCACAGGGCGTCCCCGCTCAGACATCTCCCGGGGACTGAGGGCCGTCTCCATCTGACCCCAAACTGCTTCTCTTTCCAGTCCCCTGTCCAAATGCTGAGCTCTGCCATCCTTCTCACCCACCGAGTTAATTCCTAATCCTGCCCATTTTACAGTCCCAACCTCTTGACCCATGGTCAGTCCTACCATGGGGTCACCATCTCTCAGCCATCGCTGCAGTCTGGAGGGAACGCCCAGGGTTTGCCCCCAGGACAGCGAGTGGTATGGGATGAACTGTCTCCCAAGGGACGAGTGAGGACCCTCAGTCCCTGGAGGCTGGGAATAATGGACTCATCTGGAAGTCTGGGCAGCAGGAATCAGGTTAAGATGAGGTCATTTGTGTGGCCCAGATCCAGTGCGGTTCCAGAAGAGGAAAATGGTGCGTGGAGACAGAGAAGGGTCCAGATGTGAGGCCAGGTACAGACGGGAGTGCGGCTGCACTGCGGACCAGGGCTGCTGAGAGTCCCCAGCCCAAAGCTGCGAGTGAGAGGCACAGAGAGTCTGGCCGGCCTCAGGCAGAGTTCGGCCCTGCGGATGCCTGACTCCGGACCTCCTGTCTTCAGCACTGGGGGCAAACACTGCTGCTGTCTAAGGCCAGCACTGGGCAACCCGGAAGCCAACATGTGCTGGAGCAATTTTTATTTTCTTATAGTTTTCAACCTTTTGGAGATTATCTGTAGTGTGCACATGAGCCATTTGAAAATGATCAGGAAGAACATTCTGACAAAGAAATGCTCACTCAGAAAGAGTCCTAAACACCCACAGGGTCTGTCTCTGAGCATGCAGACCCGCCTACCCACACAGCGCATGTCTGCAGCATCCACTGTCACCCTCTCCAGGTTGCCAGGAAGACAAAGTGGCAGATCAGTGTACTGCTGTCTCAGGAACTTTGCGAAACGCATTAGGACAAACACGAGAGTGTTCCGCTTTTTGGTAAATAGCATCGAATGCCTGCCTTCTCCCCGGAAGTGCTGCGTGGCTGGGTCCCCGCAGCCCACACTGCTCTGTCACAGCCTCGGCCAATCTGTATCGAGGGCCCGAGGGAAGGGCGTGGAAAGGGAGTCCCACCCTGCACGGGAGTTCCTGAGAGCCGGTGAGACTGTCAATGGGGCAGCCCTGGGTAGCACAAAACCCAGTTCTGTCTTATCGGAAGGTTATTTTGGGGGCTGATGGTATTCTGCTCCCAATTACCAGAAAACTGCCTCAGTGGACAGACTCCGCACTGTTCCGGAAAAGGCCGACCAGGGAGGCTTCCTGAGGGAGTCCTCATAGAGAGACGTCATTCCTACCACTGCCAGTGGCAGCCCGTGTCCCTAAGGCCTTGGTCCCTCTGCCCTGGCCCAAATGGGCTTCAGTGGAAACAAGAGGTTGCTTCAGGCAGTCACATTCATAGGGCACAGAGTGACCAGTGCCAGGGAAGAGCTGGCCCTTGAGTGCAGGGCACTGGCACGGAAAGGGCACTGTTATGCCAGTGGTCACAGGCCATGCAGCCCGACTCCATGCCAACCTGCAGACCGAACTCTCTGGCTCCCCCTTGGGAGCAAAGGCATACACTGCCTTGCAGCACGCAGCACCTGCCCCTTGGGGCCCTTTGATATGGAAGAAATCAACTGGCTCCTCATTGCTGGGGAAGAGGATCATGTGCAGGATTCACTTACCCAGAAGAGGAAATTGAAGATGAAGAGCAAGCACTTCAGGTAGACGACCAGCCAGTCATCCTGCTCGCTCTTCCACTGGGCCATGATCACCAGGTCTGCAAAGAACACATAGGAGCTGGCAGGGAGCCTTGCCAGAGGCCTTGGGCCGTGGCTAATGCACAACAACTAGAGCACGGGCGACCCATCGGCACTTCCGCCACCTTGGTGTCAGCTTTGTCTTCAGGATATGGGCCTGACCCACAGGTCTTCTGCAGACCTCGCCTGGGCCTTGTTTTGTTCTCATTCTTTGTCACAACACAGGTGTGTGCTTGCCTCACACACACACACACACACACTCACTCACACACACACACACACACACACGGCAGGAGCGAGGAACAGTGGCTGTGTGGCCACGGAACTCAGCCATGGCTCCTCCTGCTCTACCCATCCCAGCCCCTAGACTTCCCCATGAGGAACAGGTCTAGACAGGCCCAGTGGCTTGGCAGCAAGCAGCAGACTCTCTGAGGTCCGATGACTGGGCTCAAGCCCTGGTCTGTCACGGCTGATGTGAGACTTGCGGGACTGATTTGTGGCGTGGATCTGCACCCATGCCAGAGGCCGTGTGGAATGTTGGGATAATCTACGTGATGTTTTAGCAGACAGTCCCCGCACCGAGGAAGTGCTCCGCAAATGCGGCCTGTTACTCTGCGCACGCCACAGAGCTGAGGCGAAACCCGACTCCAGCCCTGAGGTGCCCTGGCTCCAATCCGCTTTCTCTGCCCCTGACCGGTGGGTGGAGGACGGGGGGCACAGGGGGGTCAGAGGCAGTAAGGCGGGCTCCCCACACCTGGACACCCAGCTGGCAGAGCAGCCACTCCCCGGGCCGTCCCCTGCAGAACCTCAGTAGCAGGGCTGGTCCTGCTCGGGTCCGTGTACCTCTCAGCCCACCCTGCGCTCCTCCCCTGTCTGTGCTTGGTCAGTTTCAACACGCTTCCTCCCCAGGAAGGCCCGGCCTTTGCCCTCTAAACTCAGGGCTCCTGGAGGCAGAGAAAGGCAGTGCGGCTCTCTGCGGCAAGGTTTCTATTGCAGGCCCTGGAGAAGAGCAGTCAAGACTTTTGGTCTTCTTTAAAAAAGAAGACAAAACCCATTTTTCTCCAATTTAGTCTGAGAGGTAGGGAGGCAGATGAAGGATGGAGGGAGAAAAAAGGAAATTCATAAAACACGGTGGTGGATGGGGTCAGCCGCCAGGCGCAGGAGCTGGCCCTGGTCACTCTGCAGTCGGCCCTTGGGCTCCACGGCCAGGGCTCTGGATGGGGCTCAAGGCCAGCCCTCCTCTTGCAAGTCCTCTGCTCCCCACAGACCTTCGCAGAGAAGGGAAACCACTTTTGTGTGTGCAGGCGTGCATGCATGTGTGTGTGGTACTGGGGACCGAACCCAGGGCCTTTGCACTGAGCTACATCCCTAGCGACTTTATTTCATTTCATTTTATTTTATATTTTGAGGCAGTGTCTGGATAAGCCACTGAGTTGCCTAGGCTGAGAAACTTACATAAGCATGTGCCTTCCATGCCCATCTGGGAAGCTGCATTTCTAAAAAGAACTTCAGGAAGAGAGTAGGACATGACAAAAAGAAACACATTTCTGACGGTACATTTCAGCCATTCGCGGGAGGGAAAGGGTCAGAGGGGACACCGGGGTTCCATCCAATCTTTTGTGGAAGCAATGAAGACCTGAACACCTGAGCTGAGACATACATTTAAAAATGATTTCCCGGAAGTCATAGGGGCTGGGGTGGCAGAGGCCCTAGCGAAGCATCGGTGCCAGTGTGAGGCTGGCTGCCTGGGTCTGAGCTGGCTTTGCTGTTGACAGGCTGTGTGGCCAAGGGCAAGTTACTGAGCCTCCCTGTGCAGTGCAACATGGCTCTGCCACGTGGGGCAGGCGAACTTCCCAAGCCTCCTTTCTGGTGCCGGTGCCAGAATGAGCTTCGATAGACAGCTGGTGCGAGCGCCTTCTGACAAGGTCACCCTGTGGGTTTGTGTTTCACATGCACGCTGTAGGCACAAGAACCCGTCGCTGCTGGTGTGCGTCGACCTCACTTGCTCACCGAACAGCAGCAGCTCCGCGTCCTCACTGGGTTTGCTCTGCTTGTCCTGCAGGTTACCAGAGAGGCTGTGCTGTCAGGAAGGCTGTGTCACCACCACTGGCGTCCACCCACCCCCTTGCATTCTGCTAATTTTGGATTCAGCAGCCCTGAAGTGGTGCAAACAGTCTAGGGTTGTGATAGCACTCTGGGGGCAACCCCTTTATCATCATTAAACATCGTTCTTTACCTTCAGTTACCTGAGTATCCTTTCAGCCTTTTTTTTTTTTTTTTTGAGACAGGGTCTCACTATGCAGTTCAGGTTGCTTTGAACTCACTATGTAACCTAGGCTGGCCTCCAACTCACAGTGATCCTCCTGCCTCAGCCTCCTGAGTGCTGGGATTACAGACCAGTGCCACCACGGGCAGCAGAGTATCGTTAAAGAGAGGGGAGACCATGTTTCTCTTTACCTTGTCCTTCCATTGTCTAAGGAATGCTGATGCTAAGGCTGGAGCTTAAGCAGCCATTGTGAACTATGAACCAGAAAGCACAGGTTGAAAAGGACAAAGAAGTATGTTTGAAGAAGTTGCCGTAGCTGCTCATCTCCAGACTTGGTTTCCACAGGAGATCCACAGACTTGCAGCTTCCTTATGCTTTATGTTGTCGTTCACTACTGCTTACAACTAACAGTGGACACAGGGTGTGGAAGAGCCAGGAGTCCGGGTGCTCTACAGGTGGGGGAGCCACAGGACGGTGCTGGGCAGTAGGTACCCCACCACTCTGACTGTGTGCCCCACCAAGGTGTCTCAGCACATCTCATGCGAGCTCATACAGTCCATTCATGTACTGCTGCCAATCTACAGAGCAAACATTCACCAAGCGTAATTTTCCCCTTTAAAGCCCGGAATGATTAGGATCGGGGATTCCAGTAAGCTCCTCCCTGAGGTACCGTGTGTCGTCCCCCAACTATGGGTGGCCGAGGGCTGAAGGTGTGGTTATTGGTGTCAGGAGTGTTTGGCAAGGGTGAGGCAGAGCCAACAGGAGACCAGGGTTTCAGGCCCGGGCAGGTGACAGACTCCACTGCACGGGACCCGTCAAGCAGGCGGTGCAAGCAACTCCCTGGGGGAGAGGCCCAGGGCCCAGGTTCTCAGAAGAGAGAGGAAGCCAGGCACCCTGGCAAGCAACGGGATGGGAGGAGGAGCAAGGGACAGGGTCCCGGTGGACAGGGATCTGGTCCCCAGTGGGCAGGGCTCAGCCTGGCCAGAGTGGTGGAGGGCTGTGGGTGGAGAGCACTCGGGTGCGGGGAGGAGACCCTGAGTCGCTGTTTGCAGATGAGGAGGCTGGGGAAGCAGTTGGAGGACTGAGGATCAGGAGTGCTTTGTGGTGGAAAGGGTGGCTGGGACCTCAGCTCTCTGGTGGTGGGCAAAGCAAGCACCCCCTCCCCGCCAGCTGTCCCCCTCCAAGATTTCGCCTCTTTCCATGTTCTGGGGCGGAGGATGACACACAGGGTGGTGTGGTCAGGGCTAGAGCAGTCTCTGGAGAGGAGGAGCCCCTGCAGCTCCGCCATGAGTCTCACCACACCCTGCAGTGAGCACAGGCACTGGGCCCTGGACCCTCCCCGAACTATTTCTATTAGCTGTAGGAGTGGCGTGTGATTTCCACAAGCAGACTGCCTTCCCTAAGTGGACTTTGTCTGTTCATAGGAGCTCAGAGTTGGAGTTCCTGAACCAGTGGGAGGAGATGTCCCCAAGGGGCTGGGGGACAGGTGGGACAGACACACATTGGGGGCCATCATCAACATAGATGATGTTCAGAGCCACAAACAAGCCTAGGAGCATAAGGAGGAACCATGCTTTCCTGACCCTGGACCTTCTCTGCAAGGCCACACTGCCTCCTCCCTCTGCAGGTCTCTTCATGATGAGCCCTGGATCTGAAACACCAGCTGCTCTCGCCCACCAAAATGCACTGAGCTCAGAGGAACCCAGCCTTCCCTGATCCCAGAGCAACACTCAGTACCCCTGGCCATGCAGTGGGGGGTGTCCTTCTCAGGTCTGTGTTTGTTACTGGTATTCACAGGCTGGAGACCTCCACTTTGGTGATCTACTCTGAGTCAGGACCCCTCCCCTGCTTCTGTGACCCCACAGTTGCTGCCAGTGCCCAGGTGAGTGGCTGCTTTTCCTGGTGTGTTCCCCTGGGCAAACATAGGAATCACCAGGAGGGCTCACTGAAACAGATGCTGAGCCCCCCTCCATGTGGGAGGCACCACCCAAAAGGTTTGCAGCCTGGATGAGATAAAAAGGAAAGGAAGACCTGCTGCTGTGGCCACCTCCTGCCTGCTCTGCCATGGACTGTTTCCTCTCTGCTATGCCTTGGAACCAGGTGACCGATGGAAACTTCTACAATCTGAGCTGAAATAAATTTTTCTTCCTTAAACATGTAAATATCTGATATTTTGTCTTAGCAATAAGAAAAGTAACCAAGACAGATTTTGATAATATAGAAGTAGGGTTGTTGTTGTGATACTACCTGGCTATATGGTTCAGGAGCCTTTGGAACTGGCTTGTAGAAACAGACTAGAAAGGTTTAGAGATGCTGGCTGAAGAAGCGCCCCTGGAATGCTGGGAGGTTCTGGTCAGAGCTCAGAAGACCAGAATATTGATAGAACTCCTGCTGGTAAAGACCAGTCTCAGGAGGTTTCAACTAGGAATGAGTCTACATTGGCTGTTGGAGTCCAGACACGTGTGCTATACTTTGGCAGAAAATGTGTCTGCATTTCACTTATGTTGAGACTTTGCAGGAGACCACGATTAAGTGTGGCAGACTAATTAATCTGGTGGAAGAAATTTCAAGGCAGGCTAATGTTGAGGTTGTGGCATGGCTGCTGTTGGGAGCTTTCAGTCTCATCTATGTTGAAAATCAAGAGCAAAGGGCCCGCAGAATGATTTAAAATGTTTTGAGTTTGGCCTGAAAGGAACCTCTGGTAAAGCTGTGGACTGCAAAGGAGTAGAGGAGAACTTGGTTGCTGAGAAGGAA